AATTTCAATATTCGCGCTAAAACAAACACTATAACGAACGAACGTTAACTTCAACAATACGTCTCTCTCTGACCGCAGTTCAATTACTCATTACCTACACACACATTACCTTACCGTCACGCCGTCACCCTCCTTTATATACCAGACTACCCTATATCTAGTAAATACTAGAGCATTCGCCAAAGTACAGGATAGTTCTAGAAAGTAGAGGGCGTGAGAATCACGTGATCTCGATGACGCAACAGTATATTCGGATAATTTTTCTAGGTTGTTTGTAGTGTTCTGCAAGTAGTTAACAACATCCTTCATTTCATAGAACTTTTGACCGGTTTGGTCTTGCTTTTGTATCTACATCCTAGCCGGGCAAAACCCTCTAAAAGGTTTCTCTTCTTTGAATACATCACTTGAGTAGTCATTGACTTATGTAATCAGTAATTTACGCAATAGTGCATTGGGAGTACTTTGTCTGACTTGAAAATGTCATATAATATTATTCTATCTAAATATTGGATCCTGTGAAGAACAGGGCAATCCATAGGACCGAGTTCAAATCTCAAAGGTGAAGGTACCACCAAAAAATTTGCCACTTCAAAGGAATTTTTATGGATATTTCTAACGGAAAAGTATTCCCAAGCATGTCTCCCATATATGATGGTGACATACTCATCAACAAGTTTGCAGAAGGAAAGCCAACAAACCCACATGGCATCATGTAGATCGGAATGACATTTCATCTCACACAGAAACAGTTTCAAAGGTGGTGTGTTTTTAATTGGTCATATTGAACGTACACTGGAGAGAGAAAAAAACAAGCAATAGTGCTGAGCAAAGATAGTTGTCACAGCTCTGGATGCATCTTAGGAATAGACTTGCTGCAGAAATTGTCAACCAGGTTTGTTTCAACGACTGGCAAACTGTAGTTCTAGAGCAAAATCATTCACTGGAAACCTGATAAAATCCTGGAACAGTGGACTACATGTTGAAAAGTGGGTATTCTGTGGTTTACTACAGAAGAAGTATTTTATGTTGACATCAGATTATATTGTGATATAACTGAGGCATAGAACACACTATTTTTCATCTTGAAAACATGCTGCAATTATTCAAATGTGATATGTTATAATGTGGATATTATTATACCAGTAGTCGTCTGCAATTAAAATTATCCAACTAACTATTCAGCTTCCAGCTAGAATAGTCATTAGCATGGTACTAGAAGCAGAAGTGACACAAGCTAGCTGGGTAGCTAGTGTTGTAGCCACTGTATTACATTGAAGAATTGATTTGCAACTTCCAGTGCATCTAAACTCTCTGTTAAGTATTGTACTAACAACCTGAAATGAACAGAGAAATGAATTCACATAATTCTTACCAACTTGTTCATCGACAAGATGATCAATTGGATCTAAGAACAATCACACATCATCGTGTAAATACAGGCGAAACTTGTATGATTAAAAACAAAAAAGAAACACCACATAGGCTTCCTTGGGCGCCAAGGACATATCCAGTACTGAAATTCAGTGAATGAAAAAGAAATGAATAAGACAACTTTCAGAGAAGTGCAAAGTCATCATCAGTGATAATTGTCATAAAGAAGGAAGAAACATCAAGGTTCTATATGGACTTCAGACAGGTCAGTGTAGTAAAGCATATTAATGCTTTTTTATACTTATACAGGTGAACGTCCGAATGTGTTAGTAGGTGTCCATTCATTCAATACGCTATAACTAGCTTCTGTTTATCTGAACTAGATGAAGAAAGCAGACCTAAGACTGTTTTAAGCACTTGAGAAGGACTATGCATGAGCGTCTACAGGAGGAGCAAGGGGCACTTGCCCCCCCCCCCTGGAAAATCAGAAACATAATTTTTATTTTATTCACTCAGTACAAGTATATGAACTTACAAGTTTTTTATTCTCTTCACAATTTCACAATACTTATTACACTAAATTTTCAATTCTAATAAAAATCGTCAGGTTTATCAGCAGCTTTGCTTAAAATCTCTAGATACCTACCCTGTAGCATATTGAAAAACTACACTACTACTGCAGGTTCTTGAATATTGGACATGGCAATTCTTACTCAGGTCATCGAAGAGACCCATGAGGTCTTGCTGACATCTCCTGAGCCCTGATCGAGGTCAACCTGTTGCCACCTACCGGTAATACCACAGCAAGTTATCAAAAAGACTGACGCAGTCTTGCAGACATCCCATGATAAAGTGTGGTCGGGGTCAACCAAAATTTACTATTATGGATTATATACAGCTGCAAGTCTGCACTACGGCTTAAAATAACCTTACAAATATTAAACCCATCAAATCTAACTATGGGAGCTTGCCTATTCTCTTGACTGTAATGGTAAAGCTTTGAAGGCTGGTCCATCGTCCTTTGATTTTGACTTTGCACCACCCTCTGGAAAACTTTATATGGATGCCCAAGACTGTATGAATTTCAACTTGTGCATTCTATCTGTGTAACACACTTAGAGGACTTCAATTGGAGAGATGCCTCATATATGTGTATGACATACTCATCTTTAGTTGCATATTTCAAACCACAACTGAGAATGGTATTCCAGTATATCAAGCATGCATGCTTGAAATTGAAACTGTATGTAGAAGTAGTTTCTTGGTCACATAGTGGGTAAAGATGGAATATCTGCCAATCGTGCAAAAATCACAGTGGTCCAAGGACAGACCCTACCCTCTGATAAACTAAAAATCTGCAGCTTTCTAGGTTTTGTGTTGTATTTTCGATATTTTGTGTTAAATTTCTCTGAAATAGCCACGTTACTGTCTACACTGAATAAAGTTTGCAAGTTTTTTTGTGTTGTTATCAAAAAGTGAAGATGCCTTCCAGTACTTGAAGTACTCTTTCTCAGAGCACTAGTACTGACCTATCTTCGTTAAGATGCTCCATTCCTGCTGGATATAGATGCCAGTGACAGTGGAGCTGCCGGAAAATTCGTTTGCACTTGTAATATTCATCAAACATGACAGCCACTACTTGTATGATAGAAAGTTAATAATTTGAGTGGACAGTGCCTAACGAAATGATTACTAATGAACTTCCAAAATTTGGAAGGTATGATGGCGTTTTGTATAATGATGCTGCAAAAGTACAGTACCACCTAGGTCAGCAGCACAGATGCAGTATCTCGCTAGCTAGTGAGATCATGTCCATTTACTGAATGTTCAGATCCTGAACACAATGCAGTGGTTAATGTCATTACAACAGAGATTTTATCAAACCAAACAAGCAGTGGTAATTCTACATTTGGATGGACACCATGGATGACCAATAAGGATACTTCTTGGAGGAGCAACTTAAAGACCTAGGTCTAGTTTGGGTGCTTCTTATTGAGTGGAAAGGTAGGATATGCCCATCAAAAACTGGCGAATGTAGTATTGAGATCTGCAATATCTGGCACTTTTATAGTCAGTTACGAGATCATGATAATAGAATGTTAGCTATCATTATGAGCTACTGAGACACAGAAGCCAATCCATGATGCAGTTAATATGATACAAAGATTGAAAGGCACCAGGAAGTGACATAAACTCTTGTGTATAGTTGAAGGTATTTTTTCTGGGCACATTCGCATCAATGAATCGAGTAACCAAATATATGCGATAACTAACATTAATCCAAACACTTCACTGAATGACTGGCATTCTACCAACTGAAAACTGGCTCAATGCTTCGCTAATTCTTGTTACCTATAAAGTAGCCTTGTTTTTAGACACTTCGACGTCTTTAGATCACTAATATTCCCAAACATTTTAGGTATTCTAGGACTACTTTTATAAACTTACTTGATGTTAACGTCATTCGTTCTTTAGCGAACATCTAAATTAAAACATTGAAAATATAACTTAGAATAGTGTCTTACGTGACTTAGTCTATAAACTGAAATCAAAATTACTTGTTCATTTAAATACAATATGGCTTACTTATACATATGTTCGATTTGTACAACTGAAAAATTCCGAACTTTGGTAGATATTACCAAATGTTTTATTTCAGTTTTAGAACAAGATAGTTGTTGTCCACGAATTTTGAGTAAACTACATTTTGCTGTGGTGTTGTGCAATAAATTTTGGACCACACGAATATAATGTGGATTTATTTATGAAAGCAGGTGTGATTTCACATATTTATTTAGATTAAGTTTAACTTGTGTCAAAAGACAGAGTAGTATGGATTTCTAGTGAGCTTTGGAATATCCCACTGCCGGACCCTTCAACAGATCCCGGTGCAGCTGCACCCCCGTCTCGTCAGCCCTGGCTGTATCCACAGGTCTCAGCATAGTCAGAAGTCTACCTGTGTAAACTGCATATCACTAACGCATGGCACAAAACTTATTTTGACGTCATAGTGACGAGTGTAGATAATATTAAATAGCAAAAGAACTAGCATATGTATAACATCTGCATCTAGACAACATTTTCCAATTCAGTCAGGTGCTGTTGCTTTCCACCTGGTCAATGTGTCTAACTTAGGAATGTGCCCTATGCCTGAAACTTTTTGTTGTGCCATATTCTTTCATTGGGTAGGTTCTTTTACACTATTTGATTAAAATAATGCGAAGCTCAGTTCACGTAAAGATATTTTTTCCTTAAAGTTCTCTACACGTTATTTTCACGTATAAGTCTAAATTCACAAATAATGTTTTATTTTCAACAAAATTTCTTTGTAATCTGACCGTGACAACTGAAACAAAACATTAAAAATATATCTTACAACACTGCCCTTCCTGGATTGTGACATTTGATGAACAGTCTTATTAAAAATAAAAGAAGCACACTAAACTATCCATTCACCAAGTTTTTTCTTGGTTGTTTCTCTTCCGAGGCTTATGGTACACAGATGGAATGACCTCTTATCCCTTATCAACCCTGGCTGTCCTATCACCAAAGGAGTTCTTGCAGAGTATGTAGTAGAACACATTCAATTACAGCTCTAACCTTTTGGATCCTCTGGATGTTGTCTCGACAGGAACTCTGAGCTCCTCTGCAGATAAATTCTTTTCTGGAGTTACCCAGTTGGCTGTTCTCATGCCAATGTACTTCCTAGGATGATCATGGTGGATGACCTTTGACTACCAGTCTTTCTGTAAACCACATCATTGATTCATTTCACTAAAACACATTGTTATTTAGTAAAAAGTACTGGGTACTTTTAAACATTGTTTAAACTGAGATTTTTATGAAATATCTTTACACAATTGCCATGTTTCTACTTAACTTCGGAGTTTGTGCAGCCATCCCACACCAACTTGATGGAACCTACTCTTATCAGCCTTAACATCATAGTGACTTTTCATTTTATCACAATCCAATTTAAGCCTTTCCTGGGTAAATTTATACATGAAATCTTTATTCTTTAGATCCACGAGAGTTCTTCCAACCATTAAACCATCCAGTGTTTGGCTCCACTACACCACAATCACAAAAGGTAGATTTAATCCTTATAACTCTTGGTATGAATATTTTAGTTCTTGTTGGTTGTCACTGGAAGTTCAACCTCTGGTGTTGTAGTGCCATGTAATGCTCAAGTACCGTGATGCTATATACCTGGATAATCAATTCCCAATATGAATTCTTCCTCAATGTCAAATACACACACATTATGAGACTTAAAGAAGTTTCCCAATGTGTGGGTAACTTCTAGCTTTCCACTTGCTGTTTGCATAAATCCTTCTTCATTACCAGAGACAATTTCCCATCTTTCATTACTAAATCAGGTTGAACTATTGTAGCTGTAGAACTAGTATTGATCAGCATTCTACAAGGTTTGCCATCAATAAACCCATTGACTTGGGGATGGTTTTCCTCAAATAATGAACTTTTTTTCTCTTTTGGGACAGCTGGGATATTCTCAGCTGAACTTTGCCCCATATGTACAGCTAATTCCGGTTTCTTGTCTGGTTAGGCTCGTCCTTTAGGTATTGTATCTTCAGTGTATTAACAGCTATTTATTCTTCACAGCCTCAGCTGTGATGGATAATTTTCCCACATGGTTTTGTAGTGATTTTATGTATTTATGGATTAACATGTTAAACTAACCCCTCCTAAAGATGGGGATTGGTCAGCTTTGTAACCAGGTTTCTTTTCATATACTTTGTTTTTGCCTTTGTGGTTGTCAGTGTTGTGAGCAGTAGTTCTACTATTTCTTGATCAACATGTGCTTAAAGTTAGACTTTTTTTGGTAGTTCTAGATTTAGGAATAGTCAGGTTGGCTTGAAGGTAAAAGGGGAGAAGATTTAGTATGTATCTGCTACCTCCTTTTCAAGATTTAAATTTTGTCAAAATAATTGTTTTTCAGACTTCTCAGTTTGGTTGTAGGGAGTCACTAAAGTAACACATTAACTTTCCCTGTTTTGAGAGTATAAAAATGTGGGTTTGCTAACTAACAAATATTTTTACAGGGAAGGTGGCACAAGATGTCCAAAATATAAAGCTATTTTTCCTGTTAGCAAACTGGATAAGATCAATGACAACCACACCTTAAAACTCAATTTCCAGTGGACACAGCTCTTGAATGTGAGAAGTACCCATGTACAAAATTGACTTAATTAGTGCATTTTGTTTTGTATGTAAAGCCAGGTTAGCTGCTCTAACACATGATTTAAGGAGATTCATTTTTAACAAAAGTTTGGATAGGATTAGAAAAGAAAATTTCCGAGTAGTTATTTCTTGTGTATTTAACTTATGGAAAGGTTTGTGTACTACAAGTTGTTCTGTGTAAAACTTCATGATTTTAAGTTATTGTTGCTCTACATCTTGTACCCCTTTGAAAATTATTAAAAAGAAACAAACCCCCACAACTCAAAATAAGAAGGCATTCTCAGTGAGTTACTAATATATTCCACAAACTAACACTCACTACTGTTGACTAACCATTGAAAAATTAGTTTTAAATGAAATCAACAACTCTTTAAGTTTTTTAACAAATTATACTGACCATGGATGTGCCACTGGCTCTAAGATTTTAAATTAACGTTAAAAGGCTTAAGGTAATGGAAGAAAAAGATTGTGCTATGCAGATTCTACAAATTAAGTCATAATCACATACCAATCACAAACCATGACCTGATGACAATCCTGCCCTTGAGTTTGTCACACACAAACAATGGCTTGGGCAAGACCTGACTTACTTGTTTGTAAATACTTTACAAGAATATTGATAAATGCAAGTTTTCTTATTGTGTATGTGGATGTAGAGATGTCAGCAACTAGTTTTTTTCTGTTACTAGCCTAACAAGGCAGCCACCTTAGCATTCTGGAGACATAACAGAGCTTGGAGTCTGTAATATAGCTAAGCAAAGCTGGAACTGTAATATTTCCTTCTGGTATACTGATGTTCACTTGCTATCACAAATATACACAGCACCTAATGTTTTTATGACACTCAAACTCTTACAACAGTGTTTTACAGATAGGCTTTTATGACTTTTAAGATGTGATAAAATTTTCACAGAAATTAACAACTATATTTGTCATTGTTTCTAGAAAATAATTTCATAATTAAAACGTGTGATAAAATTTTCACAGAAATTAACAACTATATTTGTCATTGTTTCTAGAAAATAATTTCATAATTAAAACGTTTAAATATAGTGAAAAATTATCACCACTTTATGAAAAATTGTTGAAATTTGTGTGTGTGTGTGTATAAAAAGTGCACCTAATATTGCCCAAGTATAAACCCATGAAATATAAATAGGTAAAAAACCCTTAATATTAACAAATTGATATGTAATTAACTTTAATAACAGTGTTGCCTATTTACTTGAGTTTTGTGTACAAACGATTACGTACGAGCAGTAGTTACATTAATTAGTGTCACATAAATTAATAGATTATTCCAAGTAATCAAAACATTGCCATCAAACTTCTTCTCCCCCATCTACTAATATTCTGTCACCACTTTTGAAATGCTGACTAGAGGAAAAGTATAACACCCACCACCAACCATGATACCACTGTTTGAAGAAAACTGTACTAATTAATTAATGTGGCCATCAATTAGAAAATACCAATAATCACCAAGCTCTAGTTGTGAATTTTAGCTAATTTTTAACACTGTTGGTGTAAAATATGCATTAGAAAACAGTACCACAAAACTACAAATGTCAATATAAAACACGGTTGATGAACAGTTGTTTGGTATTTTCAGCATAAGTCCTTAGTGAACTTGGAAAGACTCTCAACATGATCTGTTCAGTAGGACTGACAATTCTGAATAGTTTTAAGTAATTAAACATTGGTTTAATAGTTTATTTTATTCTGTTAAGTTAAAGATACTTTTAATTTTAACAGAAATGCCGCATGAAGGTAACGCTTACATGAACTGCTCTCAGTTAGGAAACTCTTGTGTAATTAAAATCAATCAAATAAGTAAAAAACAAATAACATATAATGAATTTGTGTAAGATACTTCTTCCGAAAGAAAAATTACAGTTGTTATATTAAAGAAACAGTGTCTAAAACTCACAATAAATCTGTAATAAACCAAAAGTGGAATTAAATAAATGTTGGTCTGTCACTAATACAAACACCTTGTGCATAAAATTAATATTTCTTAGTTAGCCTTATCAGTTACAACTGCCAAGTCTCTGATACAAAACAATTGTGGCTTATAAAACTTACCTGTGTACATTCATTCACTGCATACAATTCTCAGTGAAAGTGAACCACAATTGCTCAACAGACACACTCGGATTGAGATCTAACTTTTAAATTTACTACAGCCTGCTTTAAATAACAAGAACTTAACAATTCCCTGTTACCATACAACGAACAATATAAGACACAAATATCTTGAATAAAATTTTAAATTTCCTTTCTTTGTTGAAAAGTTCTCAAAAGTAACCTAAGTTTCATTTCTTTTCAAATGAATTAAAAGTTTTATGATACCTTGGTTTCTGACTATTATAAGTACAACAAAAGAAATTTGAAATGAATAACTTTTAACACACTGGAATAAAAAAAAAAGCAAAAAATCATTTTCAATTTTTATGCTGCTTTCAAAAACATATGATGGATAACTTTAATAATGCCTTGTCAATTTTTATGTTGTGCCAGCAGCAACTGAATTGATATGTTGTCTTTGGTAAGGTAACTTCAACACTTAATAAAATGTATTCATAATTTCACAACACATATCATACATCCAGATTTTTTCATATGAACTACATATTGTTTATACTTTCACTATAAAAACCTTCACTTCTATCTATATTAAATACACACACTAATGGGATTTCTTGAAGCATGAAAGTTACTCTTACAAGACAATATGAACATGTATAGTTCCTCATTAAACTTGAGATCCTAATGTAATCCTCATGTTTTTTCTGTTACATATTTTATAGTACATTTCTTTTAAAATGTAGGATTTCACAATTCATTTGATTACGGTGGGTTGGAAGTCCTTAAAATTAATAGGTTATATTGGTATGTGTAAATATGTAAGTGTTAAGAAAACAAATTACTTTCCAGTAAGTATGGATGGATACTTTTTTACAAATAGTAAACTTAGTAATAGTGGTAGCTTTAAATTCTGTTCTCTTAACTAAAAGATATACAATTTTAACAAAACTTTAATGTCGCATTTCTCTATTCATATTTCACACCTGTCTCATGAAACTGTATCATTTCATTCATTCCTATAATATATATATCAATATCTACATCAAAATGTAAACAAATAGAAGTTGAGTCAAAATTATAAAGATATATAGACACACAACTGGCTATTTTAGTATTTTAGGTAATTAATCAATTAAAAAAAACTAAGAGCTATGAAACAAGTGCCCTTCTTTGGAATGTGTGAACAATTTAACAACAAAACATTTTTTTTTTATTTGATCAACCTTCAATTCTGGCTGAAAATTTTATCAATATAAGCTAAGTAAATTTTACAAACAAAAGCTCAAAACTAGTATCACGAAAATGATTTTCAACAAATAACTTTTTCTGTTTTTATCATTTTTTAGGGATGATTAATTAGAATATTAATTTAACTATGGAAAACTGCATACTTATAAAAGCCCTTACTGACAAAAATTTTGTTAATAGTTCACCATATAATGTAATTATTTTCTTAGTGCACTTTAAAAACAGATATTTGGTTCCTTTGCTGCATTAGAATTTCCCTATCATTTACACTTCCTCCGAAAACCTACTTTTAACAAAAACAATTGCTTATTTTGGTAGAGGCTTCACAAAAATCTAACCTGTTTATACATTTATGCTGCTACTGTAACATAAACAGATGCTAATAATTTTACAGAAGTGTTTAGCAAAAAAACCAATTTGAATTCCATTTTCATAAGACAATTAGTGATTATACTAGATTGCTGATCATTCTCTAATATGCAAAATGTATAGAGGCAATTTTTTTTCAAACCTTTCTTAAACTAAAAATTATTTCCATACAGTTTTTTCAAACCTTTCTTGAACTAAAAATTATCTCCATACAGTTATTTTTTATTCAATTACAATTAAAAACATTTACTTTTACAGATAAATATACAGTGAATCATAAATAAATTGCACAAAAATATGTTTTATTTCTTTATTTAGGGAACAATGGGAGAGTGTTTTTGAAGAAGTACTACTATTTTTACTTTAGGTTCTGTTAAGCCTATCATCGGAATGAGAACTAATGATAAGTACCCCTTCCTGAAATGATGTTCTCAAACTCAGGAAAAAAACATATTGAAAAAAATCAAACCAAAGTTAACATTTTCCTGTCTTTGTTTTTCTTACTTATGTTTGCTCTCATAAATGCCTAAAAATTTTTCAGGGTCTGATCTTTTTCACAGAACAAATCTGGCACAAAATTACACACATCCATTTTTTAATTTAAAATTTAAACTCTTACAAAGTAAGTGTATTAATATCACTCTACATACTTTCACTTTCTATACACATATATCTTTCAGTTTTTATCTCAAAAGTTTTTAACATCTCTTATAAATTTTAAGAGTACCAAAAAATAAAAATGAAGAAGCAAAGCAGAAAAAGAATTAATAATTTTATACATTTTTAATAACTACAGCTGACAGTCGTGAACAAGTTATCATGTATGTACAATATGGCAATAGGTGTTATATATCAGTGTATTTCTAATCTAAAAGCAAAATATTTCAATGATTTACTTTATTACATGTAAGCAAAAACAAAAAAACTTAGAATATCTTAAGTTACATTTTAAATTCTTCATAAATCACTAATATGGTTGAAAAATCAGGTTGTAAATGATCGATAAAACTGAATTCAACACCTTTCAATAAAAACATGAATATATATTACTGTAATCTAAGCTTTGGGTCAAAGTTGACTAAATTTTCTATCCAACAATTAAATATCACCCAGTTTCTATCAATAATAATTTTATTTTCAATACAAAAAAAATATTTTAAATTAAATTCTTTCTATATTTTTTAAAGTAAAGAAGGAGGTGGTGTAAAATTATTAATGATTCACGCAGAAACAAAAACCTTCAATTCATTGCAAGTCAATTACGAGTTATGTTACTGTAAATAAATCAGATATTAACATGAGCTAATTTATTAAAAACAATTACAACACAGCTTGAAAGCAGCAATACTGTATTTAATTTTGAGAATGTATGAACAATAAAAATAGTTTTCAAAAAAAGATAAAAATGTGTTGGAAATTTCAAGGTAGTAATTAAATGTATTTTAATTAAATTTTAATTAAATGTATTTCTTGGACAAATATTTATACAGGTACATGGGAAAATGTAATTATTTCAGAATATGGTCTATTAACGATATCACCATAGAAGCAAGACCTTGTACTAAAATACCTTTATGTTATTTTAAAGTCAGTTACCATCACGTACTTATCAGTTCTGAAAAATGTTACTGGCATGATCTATTAACATTCCGAGTTCAAGTTATTGAATTCAGTTTTATCTGCCATATGATTCATATTTCATTTCAATCAGTTCAAGAAAAATTACCAACCTCAACAAAGCCAAGCTTTTGTGCTCTTTATTGGTGTCCCCCATTAATAACCTACCGAACCTAGACAATGTAACAAAATAGTGCTTTTCACCCAACTCTGTGAAAAGTAAAAATAAAAAGAGAGAAGTGGAACAGTCCCAATAGCTCCTGGATAGTTTGATCACTCAAGCACTTACGCATAATAAAACAGACTTGTCATCTATTGAAAATGACAAAATAAAAGTGCTTGCACTATCATTTAACAAAAGCAGCAAACACACCCCACATTGTTTCAACAGCATTGGGTTTCATACTTTCGGCCTCCATGTCTAAATCTAGAAGTTCACGCACACGTTTCATAGCTACTTCATAGTCATCATCAGTCAAGGGAGCAAAGGCATTCTCTAAAACATCCGAAGCATGGGCTAGTATAATAAGAGAAAGTAGTCTTTTGTCCATTCGATGCGGATCGTTAACCCATCTTCCCAGAACAGCATCTTGAACTTTCTTTACCAACTTACTTTTAGCAGTATTGTCAGTCAGTGGGTGTGTGGTCATGTCAAAGAGTAGAAAGTTTTGTTTCTCAGTGGTCAACAAACCTTTCTCCACCAGGTTCTTAGCCAAACGTTCTCTTACATTCCGAAGTTGGTAACGGAGCTTTAGTGGATTCCAAGTTTCACCTTAAGATATCAAAAGTTCATAATTATGAAATAATCTTACATAAATATGCAAATCTGCTGTTGATTTTTCAAATACCATCTTCACTTTTCTAGTCTACATTACACTTTCTACAAATAATTACTTTTAATATGAGTCATCTGTTAGATTTACATTTTTTTATGCAGGATTACTTAAAAAATAAACAATTAATGTTTATATCAACAAAAGTTTACCAAAGACAAATGAACAGCTGTATTACTACATAGCAAGAACAAGCAGACTTGATTTAGTTTTTCTGTGTGCATGGGGTGGGAGGGGCAGGGTGGAGGGGAGTAATTAGAATGTAGATTTTGAAAGTAAGAGCTACTCATGATTTGAGGTGTTCAGATCTAATTGTGACTTACCACTAAGATACTCAATCCAGCTCTGCAGAGTTTCTGAAGGACTGGTCTCTTTTATGTGTTTCAAGGCTTCATCTAACAAAACATCACCAGTGGGTGTGTCACTTTTTAATAAAACTTTCCTCATCAAAACACTTCGTCTGCGCATTCCAGCTTTCTCAAGTTCTATCCTTCCTCGTAAAGCCAGCTCTACAAGTATACATCCACGAAGACCAGAAGAAATGCAGTCATTCCAGAAGGATGTGTAACCCTGCAAAAATAAACCAATTTTTTTCTTCTTCTTAATAAGATATTAGGTTTATAGAATTGAGAAAAATAGCAGCTAAAGAAAACAGAAATTCTGATATACTAAGAAATATTCAAAGGTAAATAATATTCATATAAAGAGTTCTTAACTTAATGTACAGAGATAAAAGCTGTTGTACTGTAGGACATTTCTGTAAACACAAAGACTGTAGCAGCATCCATTACTTGAAACACACCTATCTAATACTTTCTACACAGATAAAAAAAAATTGTGTGTTTTACATCCCTTATTATATTAATAAGAAAAAAACATAAGCAGGTTGCAAAAAGTAATGACTGTTTGTCATATATCAAGATTAAAAACTACAGACAGTGAAGCCTAATGTTTGCCTAGGTAATACAATACTGAATAAATGCAAATAGTGGAGAACATTTTGGACAAAAGCTACAGACCAGTTGTCAATAATTTATACCATCATTGAAACATCAAAACATTTTAAATATGACTGAATACAATAAGAATCATATCAACAATGCCATGTCCAATTTTAAATATTTTTTTTCCCATTGGCTGCATATCTTGTTTTTGAACAGCCTGCAATGCTATGATTCCTTTACTTTATTACTTACTGTGGATAGAAAAGACTTATCAAAAAATTTTTCTTAAAAGCTTCATAAGCTTTCAAACTATACATCTTCACTACACAGAAACAACCTAGATAATCACAAGTACATCTATATGAACATTAACTTTGTTTATGCTTAATCAAAACATCTTAAAGCACTTAACTGACTTCACAGTGAAATCATAAAACTTAGAAAAAATGAACCCCCATTAAAAAAAAGAGAAAAGAATGCCACATAAGCTAATTGCAACAATATCTCTACACCATTGTTTTCTTCAGTATGCTGAAGTTTACTGCCAGAAAGCTTTTTTTTTTATATCAGAAAGGCTAGTCAATATGGTCTACTAAAATATAGCTATGCTTGTTAAAAACTAAATGTTATATTATTAGGTGTACGAGATCTAGTCTGGCCTAAAAAATTTAATGAAACATCATGCTAGACTGCATATGTTTTTTTCCCCCATCTTTTAAGTCAGTCTGTTATGGATTTTAAAACAAGGGTGTGTCAAAACATAATCTTTTTTTATCCCTGAAACATCAAAAATATCTGCAGCCTAATGTGCTGTTTCATCACGTTATTTATACCAAACAAAGCATCTGAAATAACAATATGTAAACATTGTTAATAAAAAGTTCACTCTATACTCATAACTGTTATGTTATTTTGTGAAACAATATTACTTAATGAACAAATGCATCTGGTTTGATAACAACAGTTTGTGTTAATTGATAACTTGGTCTTCGATAAGATCAAAGTCAGGCTGGATTTTTTTTTATTTACATTTATAATTATAAAATATATGTAGATCACTCACGAAATATTAATTTGGTTCCTACTAACATTTTCTTTTTAAGTCTGTATGTGTATCACAGCACAAATACTGAAATGAAGCATGGAACTGCAAAGCAAATACATGTAATAATTACATGCATGTTGTAGGTTGCACGAAAAAAAAATTACTTACGTCTATTATAGTATAGTTTAGCAGTTTATATGAAAAATTGTAAAAAATATCTAACTGTTAAAGAGTTATATAGTGTCCTGCTATAAGTATACATATGTTCCTTGAACATGTCTCATGTTCTGGAAGGAAACTAGGTATTAATACAGACACATTACGTAAGTAGATTAGCAGCATTGAAGATGAGTGCAAGATGCAATGTATTGTGAATTATTTTAATGCTTTCTTAAGCACAATATCCTATGCTTACAACTGTTCAGAGATATCATGAACTTGATAGTACAGCATTTTAAAAAAAAACTTTCAGGCTAGCCAAAAGTGTGACACAGAACATATACTTTCTCTTGTTAGGAATTATGAAAAAAAGTTCCAGATAACATCTTAGCAACAAAATAAAAAGTGACTTAGCTGTATTCAGTATGGCTACATATGAATGGGCATCATTTTCTTGCTCTCCATGATATAAGTACTTTGTAAGGGTTAATATATACAAACTATACATCACATTTAAAAATTCCTGGCAGTGTATTGCTTAGTATAAAGACTATTGGCACTGGAAACTTAACAACTGGCTGCAATCTTTTGTAGGGTTAAGAGATGTACTTTAATTAACCAGTTTCATTGTGATGGTCAAATAAAGCAGGCATATAAATGATTTGATTGTGAATGGGTTGTGCCAGCTGTGATGGGGATGTTATGGTGAGGAATAAAATCTGCATACTGAGCTCAACCCTTCCATTACTGGCTGGGTGGAATCCACCCAACTCATAATCACAAAAGTATCCATGAGAATAATTATATTATTATTTTTGATAATGTACGCACATCTTTACAAAATTCTGCAGATTATTGATAAACATTACATGGTTTTCATACACAAAATATTAGGCTTTTAAATTAAGTATTAAGATTTTTTAAATTAAAGATCTTCTCATAAATCTTTTTCTTTCAGAATGTTGACTATCCAACATGCAAAACAATTTTGATTTTAAGATTAAAAATACTTTAATGCATCAGAACTTTTTCAAATTTCACATTAAAAATCTTTATAATCTCCAGATAATTATCCATTTTTTTGAGAAAATGTTTATATTTTATTTGTCATTTTCACTACTGTATTTCTGTACAGGGGTTGGTTTGATTTCACCAATTTTGTAACCTCAATAAAAAATTAGGAAAAAATATAAATTATGCTATTTTCGTTCTAGAATCACTACAAATTATAACACGAAAACACAAATGTTTAGTCTAAATAGCTTGAATCTCATAACATTTTACATTTATATATATTTATTATTTTTATTATATTGACCTTCCAACTGAGCCTGGTTAACAATATAGAAGTTACAATGAATCAATGCACGTGTACTCGTGTTACCACATCCAATAATATATATAATTAACCTTTAGTCTCTT